AGCATTTCCTACAGCTTGGCCAACAAACATCCCAGCAAAGCATCGCAGGGACCTGCAGCGGACATGTGCAGCAGCCCCTAGGTAATAATCACTGCCATCTATAGGGACTTGCCAACTTATGAACTTCCTCTTTGTGGCTGTTTAGTCACAGTTTCATGCATTAGATCATTAAACATATTTCAATCATAAGAACAAGGATAACCTGTGAGATATAAATGCAGTTTTTAAACAGCACCTTTTTTTGTGGGAAGAAAAGCTGCCAAACCAACCAGTGTGAAAACCTAATGGTCCCCCTTACATAATAACTGGTTGAGTTGTCCGCTAAGGCGACAGCCTCTTTTTATAGCTAGCAATGATCATTTTCTATACAGAGGAGTAGACATTTTGACACCACTGTTTTATTTCAGCCACAAACCTGCATGAACTGCATGCGTATGTTCGAGCCTTGCATCTAAACCTTGTTTAAAGTCCAATTTTTAACTAGGATGTTCCAAAAGCTTTAAGTCATTGGAGACTGACTTTCTAATAATAATAAATTGTATTAAAGTGCCTTTCAGGACGCCCAAGGACACTGTATAACAAATAATCAGTGTACATAATATCATACAATATATACTGTATTAAAAACAGTGGAGGTAAGCAGTCTTGAACAGATGAGTTTATAGCCTTTATTTAAACAGAGCTAAAGTCAATATTACAAATATCTGGTGGGAGTGAACTTCAGAGTTTGGGAGCAGAGCTCCCACTCTGCTACCCACGGTGGGCAGCAGAATCAGCTAGGTGGATGGAAGAGGAAGATCTAAAGGTACGAGAGGGGAAAGCAATCTGAAGGAGAGTTGAGAGGCATGTGGGAGCAAGATTAGGGATGACCTTGAAAGCAAACAGGAGGATCTTGAACAGGATACTGAAGCTGGACAGGAGGTCAGTGAAACTCCTTTAGGAGTGGGGTGATGCGATGGAAAGTAAAGGTTTCGATAATTAAACGAGCTACTGAATTCTGGACCAACTGAATTTTATGAAGAGATTTATGAAGACTGAAAAGAAGAGAGTTGCAGTAATCGATGCGTGAGGTGACAAGGCTGTGAACCAGAACAGAAGCAGAGTGCAGGGAATAAACTAAGCTACTGCTAAATAACCTAAGGCCTTCAGCTTCAGGTCAAAACTCAATTAACAGACATTCTCTTATAGGTATTTTCTAGTTGAGAGCAGAATTTATGCCAGCTGGAAAGTAGTTTAAATCCTAAAGCTGCAAAGCTTCCACAGGCCACACACCACCACCACTATGTTAAACAGCTGGTATGATGTTCTTCTTCTGAACGCTGTGATGGTTTTTACGACGGGTGTAACAAGATACACGCCTTTATGTCTTTTCAGTTCATTTAATATTTTCCCAAGACTTTTGATTATCAAGACCTTTTTGAAAAACACGTGACAGGCATCTGTGTTGCATTATGGTCAGTGGTGATGTTCAACTTGGAACCATCCCATTGCTGCGTTTTATGTTACCTCTCACCTCTTTTCCCTCAGGGCATACCTTGAGGGAGTCGAGGGGAGCTGAGTGTACAGCTCGGTCCGGCAGGGACAGTACATTCTGGTCAGACGGCTCTCTTTGGCCCTGTCCCCTTTGACTGCTCCACATCAGTCTGTCTCTTGACTGATCCTGAAACTCTGCTTCCCCCAGAAGAACTTCAGAATGAGTGTAGAGAAGAGAGGTCAGAGAATCGCTGATTTTTAGATTTACTCAGCCTGCTCCTTTTTGTCACTCTTGGAGTAATATTTGGAGGCCAGCAACCCTTGCAAAGAAAGCACCAAATTTCCCTTTCCCTATTTTTTTTTTAGGAAATGGCATTTACAATAAAAGCTCCATAACATAATGAAAACAACAAATAATCCAAAAACTATAGCAAAGACGGAAGTTGCTGCAAAAAGGCTTCCAACTGCTTTAGCACCAGAAGTAGTTGAAAACTGCATTTAATATTCAGTCAGATTACCTTCACCTCATAAATGTGAGACCCGTGAAACAGAAAAACTAATACTATTTTTTCCAAAACGCTACCTGTGCTGTTACATAAAAAATAAGTGCATTTTTTTTTTAAGTATTCCAAGGACTAAAAAAAGGCTTCCACAATATAAACACCACAAAGTCAACAGTTTATAATAAAAAGGATTGGGTTAGGATGAGATGCTCCCTTTATAAAATACCATTTTCATGGTATTTAGACCAAAATGGAAAACAAACATCTTCTAACTGCATTCTAGCAACATGGAAGCAGATGTTATTCTTACTGTTCGTATTTTATTATTTAAGGTTCTATGTTTTTCTTATTTAGCCTTCAAAAGTCAGCTTAATGCACATATAAATGAAACATTACCTTAGGCTCTACAGGAATATGACGACACTTCAAAACTAGTTGTGTCTTGATATTACTTTTACATTTCAGATATGACACCAACTTTGCAGCTTTGAGTATTGGCCGATATGGATTATTTTATTGATCTGTTTCCATATTAACACAAATCATGCATGCTTTTATATCTATTTCATGGAGTATAATGTTAGAAAAGGCTTGTTCAAGAAACATTATGCAAACAATATGTATGAAAACGACAGACCCATGTGATATTAACCAATGTGTTACAGAAAATTTCAACAGAAGCAGGGTGTTTCTATTAGGGCTGAACGATTTTGGAAAAAAAGCTAAATTGCCATTATTTTCAGCCAAAATTGCGATTTTATTTTGAGTTTCCTTTTCGCTAACCCCAAGCTTGCAGATGTTTCACCCCTGACTAGCGTTTTTTTGAAAGCTTACTTGCCCAGAGTCCATTGTTACAAGACGTTACTGTAACCGTTGTATGAAAAAAAAAATGTTTACTTCTACTTGCATGCATGTATCTGCTGCTAGCTTAAACTTTCTCCACCTTTCTGTGAAATTCCTGTCTTACTCTTGTTAAATATAGTGGGATTAAAAATCAGTGCCTCTGTGATTTGAAAATGGCATTTTGCCAAATGCGATTACATTGCCAAAGCAGATAATTGCCCAGACCTCATTTCTATCAGGATGACAATATCAGAGATTTTAGAAGCAGTACAATTCAATATTGTTTTTTTTTTTTTTATATTGGACCAATTTAGATTTTAATATCTGACCCAGACACCCCTATTTAAAATATTTGTTTTTCTCTGGTTCTATTTTTTTCTAATCTAGTAGAAAAACACTTGCTTCAACTGTGTCATGGCCTCTCCTATGTGGGTTTCACCCATATCATGACGTCTCCCTATTACTTCTGTCGTCTCCCTATCAATTCGGCTCCTCTTTAGGAAGGCTGAACAAAGATTGAGACCTCTCTCAGCCCAAAAACACATGTTTAAGACATTAGGCATTAGCTAAAAAGTAAAAAAGTTGATGTTATTCTGCAGGTTTGGTGCTTAAAAAAAGGCACTCTGTCTCAACACTGAGCAGAAATGATGACACTCTTCCTTATGTCTCCTGGACAAAGTGGGCGTGTTGTTTTCTGTGCAGGCACAGCACCCATTACGTTGATTAATCGTTTTTATACTGACACACAGTATTGAACACGGTTATAGAATAAAGGCTTAATATAATGCTAATTACAGAGTACCAGGAGTAACCAGCTAATATTGCCTAGTTGAACAGTCATGCTATTGACCCTTGCAGCCAGCCAGTGTGCAGAAAGCTGCTCATCAGATGTGACTCTCCTGGCTTCCCAATTAAAAGTTTTAAAACACAAAACACTTTTTTATGAGAGCATGGAGAGAAAAATAAAGGGTGCTATGATTTTCTGCATTCTTTACAACCAAATATGCCTTTCCACCATGCAAGGAAAAATATAGCAGCCTTTACTTTTTAATCAGGTGACCAGCGGTGCATTACGAAAATGCCCTCTGAGAACGTTTTTTTTTTTAACATAACAAAAGATGCATGTCATGCCCTCCATCTAAAATATATTAAATTACAAACATAAACTTGAACAGTCATCATCTTGGTTTATGCTAACAGGACCTATGGGACTAAAAAAAAATCTAGTTTTGCATGATTATTTTAGCTAGATGTGTGTATATAAGAACCACTCAACCTTAAATAAAACAGATTTCCATTAATAATAAGTGCTTGAGGGAAGATGCATAATAAATACATGGTGAAGCACCTTCTCTGTGATCTAATTACAGGAAAATGTTGGGCACTGGGACAAAACATTTGCGTTTCAAACCTTTAAAACTCTGTATTGTCTGTATTTTTTTTCTCATACCCCATCCACACTGCTTGACTGCCTTCATTACCACACACACAGACACACACACACACACACACAGGAACACAGATGTTACCCTATGGATATCCTATATCCGCCATGGGTCAGAAAGGTCACAACAACTTGTAAGAAACATAAAGAGGAGTTAATTCAAAGCACTTGACCTTTGCCCTGCCGTTAACGTGTTCTCCATCACTTTCTCTGACCTCATGCAAAACTATGTGTGTCTTCTAGTCTGTTTGTACATGCCTTTATGAGTCAAATAAAGTGTTTTCTTGCAGTATTTTATGCAAACATGCAGCTCCCATGTGCCGCATGTGGAAACTGAAAAAGTATCTAGATCAGAGTGCTGTTTTTATTCTAATTACTAGGCATCAAATACCAGCATCAATCACTGCCAAATCAGAGAGTTTACTACTTTTGGGAGGTTAGAGGTATCCTGTTAGCAAGTAGCAGGCTAAAGCTAAAGCTAACACTGGCCAGAAGAAAGAAGCTGTTTCTGACATAAAAGTAGCAAACATGTCGTTAAACGCATAAAAGAAAATTGGCTTCATTGTTTTAAGACGGTTGTAGCTGCAAGTAAAAGATGAGAGCACCGATACTGGAGGACGGTCTAAGAAGCAGACCGATGTGGCTACGGTGTAGCCTCCTTCCCCCTCCCCTGAGCTCAAACTTCAGAGACCACTCATCATTTCTAAACACATTAGTTATTCATTCATTATTCTTACATGGAATTCAAGCAGAGTCTCGCCGGAAGACACCTCGGAGGATGAATCCCGCCAGCAGCGGGGAAGGAGGGCAGTCCGGGGCGGGTAGAAAGCAGTCGGTGCCCCCGCCGCGTGCCAGCCTCAATGCCCGGTTAGGATTTGGGAGCGCTGGGTTTGTTGGCCCGGGTCGGTATTCAGCGGGAGGAGGTGGGCGCAGCAGCGGAGAATGGATTCAACATTTTTGCTAGGTTTTTTTTTATGTGTGTGTGTGTGTGTCTTTATTTTAAACGTTCCAACTTCACAGTTTCTTTAGTCGCATGAAGGGGCAGGGGGACGTTAAAAAAATCATCCCAAACCGTAAAAAAATGGGGGTTCTCTCCCCGCCTCTCTGTGCCGGCAGCACCGCGCGACGTCCTCCGTCTGCAGCCGACTGCGTCCGGAGAGTCTGATCCAAGATGTCGCTGATGATCTCGGCTTCAATTAAATTATTCAGAAGAAGCCATGTCTGCCAAACGCGAAGCGATACTGGGCACAACTCCAATTGCCAGACTCTTTTTTTCTTCCTATCTTCTTTTTTCCCCTTATCCGTTTTTTTATTTTTTTTATTTTACCGGGGAGGAGTTTCTAGCGGCTGATCTTGGCACTCCATCTTTAACCGACATCAACAGGTCATCCCAGGACACAACTGTGGGCGAGACAGAGGGATGGATCCGCGGCATGGCGAGATGAGAGCGGAGCATACAGGAGAGGAATGTATAAACGGGGACTGGCTTAGAAAAAACATACCAAAATAAAATAAACAAAAATCTTAGCCGGCTTTATTACTGAACCCTGTGATTTTAGGCGATTAGAAGTGGTTTTGCACACGAGGAACAACGGGGACGGGGCTGCTCTCGAGGAAGTTCAGGAATGCGAAAGAAATGGGAGCTGGGGGGGGGGTTAAACCAGGGGCCCCTCCAGAAATGTTCCCAGGTGACGAATGGGATGTCATCAGTAATAAAAAGGATTTCTCTTCTTAAAAAAATAAATTTTAATAAAAATATATAAAATACCAAAAGAATTCTCGCTATCACTAAAACACGTATTTTTTACTTCATTAAATTAATGTATACAAAAAAAAGTTTAAACTTGTTCAAGTTAATAGCTGTTAGTTATGAGATAATTAATATAATTGAACTTTATTCATCTCACACTATAGAAAGTTACCTCTGCATTTAACCCATCCCCTTTGGGAGCAGTGGGCTGCCATTGTGTGGCGCCAGGGAGGAATTGGGGGGTTAAGGGTCTTGCCCAGGAACAGGGGCGGAACTAGATGGGGGGCCGGGGGTGGCCACCCTTAGTCATCATCATTGCCCCCCCCCCCCCCCCCCCCCCCCCCCCCCCGTTGCCACCCTACCATTTATTTCCCTCTAATACAGGTGGTGGCAACAGTAATACTCTCAAGTGGAATATTCAAAACCTTTTAATTTTTCATATATTGACAACAAAAACACAGTGGTTAATTATGCACATCAATATACTAACATTAAAGATAATAAGCACAGAGTTCTAGCAGAAACAGATTTTGTGTTTTATGGGGTAAACAGAAAATTATGTTTCTCTGTAAATTATCTAGGAGTCTTCAGTGAAATCATAGATAAATAACTATTTAAAAAAACGTATTAATCAAGTTATGTAGATATTAGTACTTGTAAATATAAATTTTATGCAGAATGATTACTGATAAGTATTGGAATAATAATAATGAAATAATGGAAAGTATAGTTTGACTTTATTTAGAAAATATGGATGTTTTCCTGGTTAATTGTCCTGTTGGAACAGTGTAGATTGTAGATTTAGGAAAAAACTGCTGTATATGATTTTAAAATCCTGTTATTATCACAAATATTACTTTTATCTTTTCTTTTAACCAAATTGAAGTCAAATGTGCTTGGGAGGCATGCAGAGGTGACGGTCAAACTCAGATGGAGAGAGATATACAAAGCATTAGGACAGATATGGAAACAAATATGCAGAAAAAACAAGAGATTTTCATTCATTTGTTTAATTAGGCTGGGGAGATTTTTTTCCTAGCAAACAGAGCTTTTAAAACAGACTGTAAAAGAGAATGTAAACAGTAAATGCTGAAAATATATAGTTTAAATACAAACTGGGATCCTTCAATATGTTCATTCTGTTTTTCACTGCTTGTAGAAAGCTGTTCAGGTTAGACATCAATAATTAGCTATATTCAAATAACTTTTAGCTAACAGTTGTATCAGCTACCTGTTTTTTATAACATTAATATTAAATAATATTATCTTTTGTTTACTTTATTTAGTTTATTTGTGAGTAAGCCTGCCATCTGACTCTTGGCCCCCACCCTTGCCCAGTAGAGCAGCTCCCCTGATCAAATAAAAGGCTTTTGGTAAAACAGGACAGTAAAAAGTCCTAAGTAGTATATAAAAGCATGAAATTTCCTATGCAACACATTTTTTTCCACTTGATTGGGTTTAAATATGAATATCCTAGTTTTTGCCAACCTGAGCAGGTGTGGAAATCAGAGTAGATGTTAACTTACAATAGATGTCCATTGACCAAATAATTATGATTATAATAGTTTGGTTGGTGTGGTTTCAGAGGGGCATGAAGGAAGCCATCTATGTTAAGAAAGAAAATCCAACCTTAAACAGAGGGAGTGGACTCAGGTTTGAGTTTTCAAAAAGCTACAATGCGGCAATAGAATTGATTCCTTCCTGCTGTCATCGCAACCCCCCTCCCCACAGAGGGGGCCAGAACACTTCTCCTTTTTAGCCAGGTAAACAATTCCCCCCAACGACCCCCTTTCAGAGGCATAGACCAATATTGCAAGTAACAAAGAACCCAAACTCCCCATTCATAAGGGGCGGATCCAATTTTCTGAATGGATGTTTGCATGTTTTCTACGTCAAAACAAGGCTTGTTTTTGGTCCACTCTATAAAACCTCAAACTCAACACTATTTCTGACATTTTGAATTGAAAAAGCTTTCTGGATGGGAAGCGAAACGTCTTCAAACTTGGAAACAAAGTTCAGTGGATTGTTTTTTAAACTTTTTGGGGAATTATGATTATACATTTTGCAACTAAACCTTAAACATATGAGTCTTCATCTGGGGACAAAGAGAGACAACATTCAAAAACAGCTCTTAAAAGGCAAAGAATGCAAATACAGTGAAATCCACTTATAGTGATCACATTGGTCCAGAGCCAATTTGAACATTATAAGCGGTTGATTACTATATCCGAATTTACCGTTATTTCACTTATTTTTTTATGCAGAATATCATCTAAATGCCATTTATATTTTGTTTTCAATGAGGAAAATGAAATGTAACGGATAGCTTCCACATTTACTGAGTTATATTACAGTACCATGCAACTTTAATTACAGTATACTACACTGTGCGCAGACATAACTCTGGTAGCCTGGTGGATTTTTTTAAACAAGTCTGAAGTTTGAAACAAACAGTTTCATTGAACAACATAGAGGAAAACTGCATAGGCTACAGAAAATTAAAGCTAAATCACTTCACATATTTATCCATGGTTCCCTGGATCACAGTTTTCTCCAACACATAGTTCACTTCTTTTTCAAAACAATGTAAAAGCTCAAATTTTTTGAAACCAACATGCAGGAGACCAGTCTTTAAAATACAAACTGCATTCCTCATCTCAGCTCTGGATGGGACAACAGTCTCATCTTCATCCTCCTCCCCCTCCCCGCGGCACGCAGCACTGGTACCCTCACCAAAGCGCTCTTATACCCCCACGATGATGTCCTCATCCGTCATGGCCTCTGACACCGGAGTGCTGTCATCACTTTCGATCCACTTAGTAATTATTTTTGAAAATGTTTATATTCACAAAATGGCCCAAAATGAACACTATAAGCAGATTTCTTGATTACTATAAACAGCATTTCTACTATAAACACCTTTTGAAAACTATAAGCGCTTGATTACTATATCCGTGACCACTATAAACAGATTCCACTCTATAACAATAGAAATAAATGTAATCCATCAAAATGAATCCAACTTGAAATTATTTTTGAATTCTATTATTTTTTGGAGATGACCATAGCCCCCACTCACCCCCCTCTTTGTAGCGCCACTGAAAAAAAGGGGGGCAGTATGACAAACGTCTGGGTGTAAAGTGTTAAAGTTTGCTCTCTGCCCATCCCCCCTACGGTAGTCCCTCAACTTTACCACCCAGTCAGAACACACAACAGCCAAATCTTCACTTCAGCGGCACCACACCTCCCAGTTCATCCAAATTCATGAGGACCCCCACACACACACACACACACACACACACACACACACAACGCGCGCGCAGTGCTGAAGTGGGACAGACGCATCCGTCCCGTTCAGTCTCTCAGTCGGAGCGTTTTAACTTACCCCTCTGCAGGATTCTGCTCAAATAAAAAAATCTTCCAAATGGAGGAGCCGCGCAGAAGAAGCGGTCCAGTGTCTCCCTCCCTGCGCCTCGCTACAGACAGTCATTCACTTTGACTGTATGCTGTGAACCCTTCACACACACATGCATGCATGCAGACGAGGATTGGAGCTGGGAACTATCCAGGAGGGGGGAACAGGGAAGCATTGAGGGGGATCTCTTTTTTTTTTACCCTCCCATTCCAGGGGTTGCAGACAGATCACAGAGCTACTGATCGGTGTGATAGATAGGCAGGTAGAAGGACAGATAAGGATGCTGTTACTGCTGTTTCCCTTTTGTAATGAACTGACATATAACATCTATACTTCCTGCAATCAATGATCTGTAATTGTCTTTGTTTTTCTGTCATTAACCTAACCTGACATGACAATGGGAGTTATTAATATCAGAAAATAAAAAATGACGAAAAACAATAAATACAAAAATATATACATTTAAAAGTAGGTGATATTTGATAAAAGATATATATGTTATAGATAATTTGTTCCGATTTGGCGGGAAGTTAAGTAATAGACTACTAAGTAATGTGATTACTTTAAGTGCGCCGCAGGAGGCTGGTAGACGCGCAGTGAGCGTCCCCAGCCGACCCAGCTGTCTGAGCCCCACCCACCAGTCCACCCACCTAACCCGCACACTCACCGGGGTGTCTTCAGGCGTTGGAAAGGACTCTCCCTCCTGCCCTACCCTGCGAGCACCGACCAGCCAGGGGCCGCTGTCCTTCCGCTGAGCGATGGAGAGCGTCTAGACTCCGGGCAGGTGAGCCCTCCAGGGCCTCCAGGACGCAGCGCGCAGTGAATACTAAACAGGATGAGACTGCACTCAGGAACGGCACTGCGCTCCTC